CCCCCCCCCCCCCCCCCCCCCCCCCCCTCTCTCCGACGATTCCCCCGTGCGCCGCGGACGAAACAATCCCCGGACAGACCGCGGCATGCTCTTCTGCCTCCAAGAGGCCCTCCTCTACGTCCGGGGCAAGGACCCCATCTGTCCCGGGTACAGCCCGCGCTGGTGGCCCAGCAGCCCGGCTACTTCCCCCCAGATCAGGGCGCCCCTCGTGGGGTCTTGGTTCGAGGGGCGGCGGGTTGGGGCCGCGTCGCTGCTGCCGTGGCAGATGCGGCACAACCTGTTCGGGGAGGGCGCGCTGGCGAATGGCGGCGGGGCTGGTGCCGGTTCGCCGTCGAGGGTGCGGGCCGACGGGACTCGGGTGCCCCCGATGATGGTCCTTCCGCTCTCGGCCGTCCAGAAGAGGTGAGAGCACGGGAGGGCTTGTTTGTCTCGGATGTCAATCTGTAGAGAAAGTCGTGTTGGTCGCTGAAATAATGAAGTAGGGAGGTCTGAGGAGGAGGAGGAGGAGGAGGAGGAGCAGCGCCGCGCTGGGGTGTGTGCCAATCTGCTTGGCAGCGAGGGGGGATGGAGGGCGGTGTGATGCGGTGATGAAAGGAAGCACCAGGAAACGTGGAAGCGATGGTCGAAGTGCGCCGATGCACCCATCAGATCTACCGAACGTCCGTGAACGACATAAAAGAGATGGAACGGATCAGCGCAGTTTTTTGTTTTATTGCGAAACACACACACACGCACATCCGCCGGGGGAGCTTCATGACTTGAGAAGGCGCGTGTTCTTCTTTTACGCCCGCGATAAGACTCAATTCATTCATTGATCACCTGGTTAGCGCGCGATAAGATACACATACACATGACCGCACTGGGCCTGACTTCTTTCACTTGGTCAGTGGGGTACAGTGGGGCGGTGGATGCTAGTAATCGAAGCACACAATACACACGGCCGCTCCTCCGTTTGTCCCGTCCTTGTTTTTGGCTCGCTCGCTCTGTACACCATCCTCGGCGACCTGAAAAGACAAGACGAACGCACGCACGCACGAAAAAACGCACACACATGTACTACTTGGCCTCTTTCTCTCCCTCTCCACCGACGTGGGTGCGTGTTTTTTGCTCTTCTTTTTCAACCCGCTGGCGTTCTCTGTGTTGTCTTCCTTGCTACTTCATACCTTTGGTGTACCTCCCAGGCTGCCGGATTTCGACGAAGGGTTGACGGTACCGGTGTCGGAAATCCCGCGGAACGCCGTGGTGGTATGGGTGAGCCACTACTGGGGGGGAACCCCGGCGCGGCCGGACGACCAGGGAAACACCAAGGCCAAGGCCATCTACGAAGGCCTGGTGGTGAGAGAGAGAGAGAGAGAGGGGCTTTGTGTGTGTGTGACCCGTGGCGTTCGCGGGACGAAGGCGTTGTTGTTACTTTTGTTAATTTGTGTTCCGCCCTTGTTGATGCGTGTGTTTTTTTCTGTGTGGGAAGACGTTCTAGCCACGGGGGCGGCCGGATTTGAGTGAGGCTGTTTGTAGACACGCTATTATAGTGTAGCAGTGTTGGGCGCCTTTTCGTCGTTTGGAACCCCGTATGTAGTGTACAAGGCCCCCTTCGGGAGTTATAGGCGGCTTGCCTCCCGGGGGCGACGCAAGAGGACACGGCCCATGTCATCGCGGTCCCGTTGTTGCATCTCAACGCCGTGACGCTCGGTAGTGAGTGCCGGTTTTACGTACAACCTGCAGAATTTGCATCATGTGTATCTGCGCGATATTTTTCTTTTCTGGCCGTAACTCTTCGCGTACGCGTGAGTGTGTGAGGTTCTAAGCTAGCGGCGTCTTTGCTGTAGGTCCTACTGCTGTAATGCGCTGAGTTTGATCACTCGCTCTCATGTATTCGTGTTGCCCATGGTCTTTGGTTTGGGACTTGTGCGTTGCGCAGGAATTAGAAGTCTTGCAAGTCCTGTTTTTTTAACGCAAATAATTATTTTGTGTATTTCTTGCTAAGGCTTTCTTAGTGCGGAACACGTCTCGGGGTATAGAGGCGTTTTTTTCAACTTTGGGCGTCAAGCAACACGCGCTATGGGTGGCTGGCAGTGCTCGGGCGTGCGCGGTGAACGTACCGACTAGCCTCCTGCGTGCCCCTGAGAAGGAAGCGTTAGAAAAGACTCGCTTCCGCCCGCGAAACATGTCCCCGAAACACGAAAACAGGCGGAGTGGTACATGGACACAATAAACACAGCTTATGTATCTGGCCCATATTGCTTAACCCACCCTTCTCTGCCCAGACGCCAACGCCCCCGCGTTTGAGAATCTTCAATTTGGAGTCGAGGCTCAGTTAGATTGTTGAAGTTCATTCTAACGTTTGATTCTCTCGCCTCGTTTCTCTTGGCCTCTCACGTGTTCAAGAATGAAAGGAAGGTGCACTCACAGCAGGCCAGAGTCAATTTGGTGGCTCCTCCTCGTACCACCGGCCTTCATTTCCTCGTCGGCTTGAATCTTAATCGCGGGCGCTGCTAGCTGTGATCATGCCTCTCCGTTTTTGTCCGGCACACACGCACAAATTTCTGCTCTTTGGCTCTCAGAACCTGGACCGAGGCGACGTGTACGTCTGGGTGGACGTGTCCTGCCTGCCCCAGAGCGCCCAGCAGCCGGCCGGCGGCGGCGGCGGCGACGCAGCGGTGCCGACGACTCCAAGGGGGAAGGCGGTGGCGGAGGCGGTGGCGTTCTCGAGCTCGGGGCGGTCTCAGACGGAGGTCGAGGTGTGTGTGTTGTTCGTTGGTGGGGAAGGGAGCGGCTTTTGGTTGATGGTTTTTCTTTTTCTTGTCGTTGGCTCATTTTACCCTCCCCTCTAAGCACATGGCTTGGTGATTGTTCTAGCTGGCCTGGTCCAGTGAAAACCTGGCGTGTTCCGTAGGGATAGGAGGTCAATGGTCTTACCGACTACGACGTGCATGGCTGTGAGTACCCCCCCCCCCCCCCCCTTTCCTAGCGCGCGCGGTATTGTTGCTCATTTGAATTTGTGCGACAAGCTGCGGTAAGTGTCTTCGTAGATGTATATTTGTGTCGTTAAGGAAAGTATATTTTTGGGCTTGAATAGACCGTGTTTGGTATCGGTGTGTTGGACGTTTTCAGCGCCCCCCCCCCCTTGACAACTATGATAACCTCCTCGCCCCCAACTCCTACCGTTTTTTTTTCTCGCGGTAAATAAACCCTTGCTTGGGCAGGCCCTGGAAGAGGTGGGACAGCGAGCCAGAACCATAAGGGCCCTGCCGCTGTTCCTTCTCTGCTGCGACTACTTCCTTTCTGTCGACGATCGCGAGGTAATCGTTTGTGTAAGCTTCGATTAGTGTCGCCGTTTCTCTTTTTGGTTCGTTTAGGTTCGCTGGGCTCTTCGAGTATTAAAACCACGTCAGGCCGTGAGGTGTTCGAGCTCGGGGAAACCTCACTGATTCACACCAACAAACTCTTTGCGCTTGCAGCACACCTTCATGACGCTACTGCGATGCTCTGTGTATGATGAGCCCGCTCGGGAGGCGCGCTTCGTATTTTTCTGGTAATATTCGCTCTTGCCCCCCCGTTTTTCGCTCACCGCAGCCGATCTACACACGCAGCCCTTGGACCCGGCTGGAGCGAGCCGCTCTTCGCGAGGTCCTCACGCTTACCAGCGGGGGTGGGGCCACGAAGACGACCCGAGCCGGTCACCCGAGGATGCTGCGCATGTTGAGAGACGAGGTATGTCTGTACGTACGTGTGGTGCGTGCTTGCAAGCGTTGAGGCGTGCCGGAAACGTGTGGCGCGTGCTGCAAGCGTTGATGGTTGTTGGGGCATTCTCAATTGTGCGTCGCGGGAGAAGATGAAAGGTGAAAGGTGCCCGCTACTGCAGTTTGTTGGGCGCGCAGTCATGGTTGTGTGTTTGGTCTTTATTGTTTGCATCGACCGCGCTAACCGGCTGACCAATGAAAATACGTCAGTCTCGAGTGTGTAGGTGTGTTTTCAAGTGTAAGACGCCAACGTGTCTTGTACTGGTCGCAAAAATGATTGGTTCGACGCATGTCCTGCTTTCGTGCTTGCTTTGACTACGAACAGATGGTAGGGTCTCCCGGCTGGAACTTCGGCGTCAGTTTGCCGACCACCTGTTTGTTGCCTTACGAACGGGGATGGCTGCATCTGAGTCGAACGCAAGAGCTTGGGCTTAATTCTTATTTTCCTCTCGCAGTAATTCTCGAAGTAATTCTTATTTTCCTCTCGAAGTAGTAACTTTTTTGGAATTATGGGGCGGAACCAGTTTCCGCAGGTCCATGTTGGCGCATCTGCTGTCAAGGACGAAGGGTCCCTCCCTTCCCTGTATCCCCAAACAACCCCTCCCCCTCCCCCCTCCCCCTTTTTTCTTGCCCCCCAACACGACAGACGGCCTCGTTCATGGACCTTCCCAAGCGGTCCACCACGGTGGTATCCCACATGAACAACCTGTCGATGCTGCCCAAGCTGGAGGCGCTGCCGCCGTTCGGTCCCGGCAGCAAGTCGGCCGCTTCGGGCATCTGGGCGTCGGACGTGCCGGCGATGCAGCGCTCTTTCCAGCTCCTTGATGGGTTGTCCTTGGTGAGGGAAAGGGAGAGAGAGGGGGGGGGAGACAACTAGGTTGACTGTGTTATTGGTTGTATGCCCATGCTTCGAAAACTACAGATACATTCCGGTTTCACGGACGAACGATGCTCTTGATACGCCCCCTCTTGGGTTGATCGAGAATCGCGTGGCATACCTGTATGTGTTCGCTACTACACACTTCTCGATTGTAGTGGTGTAACTCTTTTTCGCAAGCGATCCTTTTGCTGGTCCGTGCATTCGTCACTTGCTATGCAGCTGCTGTGGGCGTAACCCCCCCCCCCCCTCTTCCTTTTGCTACCACATAAATGCGCGCCAAGCTCGCACGCTACCCAGCGGTGGACATCCCCAGGCTTCACTTGACGGAGGAGGGCGAGGACACGCCGATTGCCGCCGCCGCCGGCCCCCGGCCCGGCGCTGCCGGCGTCCCCGGCGTCCCCGGCGATGGGGCTTCTTTGCCGCAGGGACAAGGGAAGGAAAACGCGAGAGAAGCTGCGGCAGCAGGGGTAGCGGCCGGTCGCGCGTCACCCCCGGCTGGCAAGGCCGGGCACGGCCAGACGAAGGTGCCGAGCGTGGGGACAAGGTACGGCCTTGATCCCCCTTCGCCTGCGGCGAGCCCCACTGGCACCGGCGCCAGCGAGGACCTCGACGTCGACGTGAACAGGAGGAACGTGTCGGCGGCGATGAGGACGGCGTTCAAGGCGGGCTCTGCGCGCGCCAACAGCAATAACTACGACAACAAGCCGGTCTTCTCCGCCTCGTCGGTCGACCACCCCAACAAGGGCACAGTCGTCGCTCCCCCCGTCACTGTCCCGAGGGCGACCTCGGCAAACGCTGTGGATGCGGCAGCCGCGGCCACGCTTGGCGGCGTCGCGGCCGCGAGAGAACGCATCATCGCGGGCGGCGGGCGCAAGCCCTTCGCGGGCGGCAGCGCGACTTCGGAGAGCGGAGAATTCGACTCCGACTCGTCTTCGGCGAGCGGCGGTGGCCGTGGCGGCGGCGGCGGCGTTGGCACCCGGAGCGGTGGCCGTCAGTGGCGGAGGCGAAGGCCGTCTTCGAGGCGCGGTTCGTCCCGCTACGACGACGACGACAGCAGCAGCTTGAGCAGCCGCTCCGGCAGCGGCCCCGTCCGGATGAAACCCCGCAAGTCCGCGCGTCCCCTGGCCGCCGACGCTCCCTCGCCGTCGCCGTTCGTCGCCGCTTCCGGGGCCACCGTTACCGGCGGCGGAAATAGTTCTGAGCCTGGTGTTGGTGTTGCGCTACGACCCGCGGGCGGTATTTGGGGCTTCCCTTATTCGTCCTCCTCCTCCGACGTAAAGATCGGTGGCGAGATTAGTGCCGGTTCTTCGGCCGGCGGCGGCGGGCCCGGGGCGAAGAGTCTCGCCGCTCTGGCGGGACTGGCGGCGGACGAGAAGGATGGCGACGGCGACGAGGAGGACACGGGGAGCGGGGGCGAGGATGAAGTGGGGGGCGTGATCGTCGTGGAGGATAAGCGGGCGACCGGGCTACTGAACGACGCCGCGGTCACCACGGTTACGGCGGCGGCGGCGGCGGGAGAGGTTGAGTTCGACCATCTCCCTATGCTGGTGACCCCTACGGTAAGTGTTATGTGTCTGTCAATTGTGCGTCCGTAGGCAAGGCGTAAGCCTAAGAGGCACAGTGAATTCTCAACCGTGTGTGTAGAGCACCTGGTACGTACGTGTCGTGTTGTTTAGGATGCTAGCGGCTGTTGGTTCGGAACGGACGGATCGCAAGAAAATCCCCGTTCACATGTGCAAGGTTCTGGTCGCAACCAACATGCATCCCCCCGGAGCCACATGGTTTTTTTCGTGCCGTATTTTGCGGTATGCATTATCGCCTTCGCATTGACCTGGTTTCGTGCCTCGGGTCACGTTCCTCAACGCACACCACCATCACCGCCCTCGATGTGCACGTGCTGATTGGCGGTATTTTACGTCCTTTTACCGTTTCCCTCACGCCGCCTCGCCTTCGTCGCCCGACCTGACTGCTATTTGTTTTTTTGATTCCCGCAGCACCGAGAAAGGGCCCTCCTCGGGAGCGGCGAGATCGGGGCTCGCATGGGCGCAGGGGGCAACAACCTACACCTGCCGGCCAAGGGCGCTAAGGGAAGACCGCCCCCGTCGTACTCGTCGGTGGTCCCGATCACGGCGGGCGGCGGCGCCGTGACCGGCATCGTTGCCCGAGTAAGCCGTTCTTTCGGCGGAGCCACTGCCGGCGGCGGCAGCGGCAGCGCACGAAGCGGCGGCGGCAACGGCAGCGACAACAACAGCAGCAGCAGCGCGTTCGCTTCTCCAGCCGCGACGTCGTCGTCGTCGTCGTCTTCGTCTTCGACGTCATCGTCTTCGTCGTCTTCGCCGATCCCGGTCCTGGAAGGCGGGGGCGGGAGCAGCGGCAGCGCCGGCGGCGGGTTCAGCGGAGGCAGCGGCTTGGGGAGCAGCGGGGGGGGCAGCAGGGTCACGGCGCGACCCCCGCCCTCGCCCGCCGGAGGGAGAGCGCGGGGTGGGGGCGCTCCGCCGAGGCGGGCGGCGTGGGGCTTCGATGGCAACCACGTAGGGCAGGGGCCAACGAACGCTCCTTCGACGAGCGGTGCCACTGCCGCTGCTGCTGCTCATGGCGACGTCGGTTCCGCACAAGACGGCGGCGGGGGCAGCGCCTCGAGCAGATTCGCGGACATCCGGAACGCGTTCGAGAGCAAGGCGAGGGCGAGACAAGACGCCAACGGAGGGCGGGGAGGGGCTCCGTCTCACGGGTATTACAACGGTGGCGCTTCGTCCGCCTCCTCCACTTCCTCCTCCTCCCCCCCGTCCTCCTCCTCTTACCCCGCGTCCCATCCTTTCCGTCGTTGATGGGGTCGGTTTGTCGACATCGTCGGCGTCTCTATGTTTTGTCAGCACGCTCTTTCCCTTTCCCCCACGGGCCAGCTGAACTCCCTGTTTTGTTTTTGGTCCCCCTCGTGCCGCTTGTTTCGCGGACGGGAACACTCTGTGTTGGCTCGACGATTCATTGGTTGGCGCTTGCCAGCATGCTTGCATCCTTTCGCCGTTTGATTGTTGCTCGTCGTTAAACGCACATGCGAAGGGGCCGGGATATTGCCAAGCTGTCTTCTTGTTGACTCCTTGCTGTTTTTGTGAATGCTGTTGATGGGTTTCTGCTTTGCACTGGTGTGCTGTGTCATGAGTTTTACGGCGCAAATTCAAGGGCTGGGCGTGTGTGTAGAGCGTGTGAGTGTGAGTTTCGGTTGTTTGTAGAAATGGTGCCCAGGTTCCCTTTCGCTTGGTATTTTGAGCGGTAGATGGGGGGGGGGGGGGAGGGGCGTGATCTTACCTCCGACTCCCTCCACCGCAGTCTGCTTCGTTTCTTGTGTCGGTGTGGCCAAACATGCGTGTTCAGTTCGCCAAACACACTGGTGGTCACGACTTCGTCACGTTGTTTCGGTGTCTTGATTTTGCCTATGCAGGAGACTGCCGTAGACCACCAGAAATTCTACCGGAGGTATGGCGGGGTTGGCTGAGGGCGTACGCGAGATGTTGCGTGTAATGAGTCGATCTCGTCGGACATTTGTCGTTGGCGCCCCTCCCTGTAATTTGTGTAGTATTTCTGGGTTGGTCAACGTTTTATTATGAACAAGCTTGCTTTTGCAGTGCACCTCGGGATGAAAGGGGGCTGCTGCCGAACCAAGTTGCGAATCGGTACACACGTTTTCCACGACATGTTTTCATAGATGACCAGAGGGGGGCAAAAAGCCTCCGCTCGGTTGGTTTTGTCGTGGGCGTGAGCCAGAGACCAGCGTTTACTCGATTCTTCTTCTGACGGCGATCACTGCTTCAGTAGGCACCCCTCTCAGCTTGTGATTCTTCTATGTCTGTTGATGCCATACGTGATGCGTATCCGATTGTTGTGGTTGTATTTGGTCTGATGTTTCACACATTCGTCGGTTGCTTTCGGTATTGTGCCCGGTGGTTCGCTGTGGGCGGTACGGATGGGCCGGGCCGGGCCGGGCCCTGTCTTGTTCTATGGTACTGTGGACACCTACAAGAGCAGCAAGAATTGGTGTACGGACCCGGCCTACTCTTTTGCTCTGGTCAGTTGTCCCGCACATTTATTTTCTACAATATCCCTTCGCAAGTTTGACGGTATGTCCCGACGGTTGTTGGGCGCTTCTAAGCGGCGTTCTTGTTCTGTTCTTTTCGGTGGTGGCTGCGTGCTCTGTTCTGTCCTATATGTCCCCCTCTCCTTGTTGTGCGGCCGCCGAAATTGTAGCGCATGGGGTGTCTAAAGTGAAGGCTGTTTGTGAATTGCTTGGAGGCGTTGTTTTTAGGAGAGTTTGGCCGAAAAATCGCGTCATCTGCGTAGTACTTATTACTTATATCTTGGAGCGCGTACGCCCGACTTGTCTGTGCGACCGAGGGCGTGCATGCGTGAGACGCAAACCGGGCAGTGGTGGTGTTGGGAGAAGGTCTGTTCCCCGGTCCTGTCGCCCTGTTTTTAGAACCACCATATGTAGTTTGGTCAGGTGTTGCGCACATGGGGGGCGGGAGGTCTTTGGCGCAGAGACGCGCTGGTGATTTGAGTGCGTTGACGCCCGTGCATACGACCCAAATCGTGATGATTTTTTGCTGGTAGAAGGAGGCAGAGGCGCAACGATATAGCGGGCAAATCAACCATGGGGAACGGTCATGTAGGCGTGCGTAGTCGTTGTTCTTTTTTAGGTACGGGAGGCGGGGGGGGGGGAAGCACTGAAATGTTGTTTGAAGTGTGAACAAAACAAAGTTTAAAATGTAGAAGAGGCTCGCCGATGCTTTTCGTTGTGTTTAGAAGATCGGAAGCAGCGAGGAAGCGTGGGCGGTGCAACAGGGAGCGATGAAAAATCGCCACTTTTTTTGTTTTTTTTCGTTTTAGGTTCTGATGTGCGCGGAGAGGACACAAACGTCATAGGGCCCTGGCAGCTCTCTATTGTTGTTGGTAACATTAAGAACGTGTTTGTTTCGTGTAAATTACTTGCTGCGCTTGTCGCCGCTACAGGTTTGGGACGTGAAAAAAACGACCACGGGGATCAGACAGAATATGTTGGTCTGTCCTTCGCGTCAAGTCTGTGATGACGATGGGTGGTGGGCATTTGGTGTGTCGGTCGCACTACAAAGCAGAAATCGGCTGCTGGGGAATTGTTGGAAAGGGCTTGGCAGTGGATTGCTCATCGTCGCGCTTGCAGTAGAACATGCTGCACGTTTGGCAGCAAGAGTGAGAATGGATCTCGCCAACAACGCGCACGTTAGAATCTGCTGTTAACCGGCGGAAAAACATTGGCATTTACTTGGAAGTACCAGGCGCTCGATCGGTCTGTCGCTGGGGGCGCGCGTGTGTTTGCTTCTTTTTTCCCTCCTTGACCCCCGCGATTCGAGTGAAGGGATTGATTCCATGTTTTCTTGACTGCTGTCACGACGTCTGAGCATGTAGTAGCTGTCGTTTTGACTTGCCTCAAATATGTGTGTGTCGTCGAATCACAACAACCGATTGTAGGTAGGTACTCAGTTCGGTGTGTTATCTCTCTCCACCCAATAGGACGAAAACACAAACACCTACTTCGCCCCCTACGGTGTCGTTGCTCCTGTTCGTTCGTGATATTCTAGTGGAGGCAGTGTGTTGGTGCGTTCCTTGTGGGCATGCATGTCCTTGTGTCCTAATAGTTCTCTCACTCTTGTCCGCAGGGTCAAGGTGGCCGAGGGAATGAGCAGCAGTAGTAGCAGGGAACCCATGGGTAGGCAGGCAGTGTATAGGAGTAGGACGGGGGTACACTAAGGTATTTTGCGACGGGTTTCTCGCTACAAATAAATGGTAAATAACCACGATCGATCGTCGTTCCTTGCTTGTTTTTTTGTTGTTGTTTTGTAAACACACATGTCTATCATAACATCGACGGCGGACAGCCACAAACAAGACTGCCTGCAAACCTGGGACAGAGACGCGTTCTCCCCTCCGTCCGAAGCACGCCCCGTCCATGTCGTGCGCACCTGCTGCTATTTTTTCACGAGTGCCTGGCGCGCCGTTCAGAAGATGTGTTCAGCACGACATACCACCTTTAACTTTATCACTTGAGGTTAACCAGGTTGTATGTATCTCATTCTTGCCGTCCCTCGTGCTTACACGAATGCCACCGCAAACGGTACCAGACCAAGACTAGGTAGGCAAATGGCACAGTTCGGATACTTCCTCTGTCCCGTAAGTCTGTATCGTTACGTTTGTACGGCCTCTTAACGGTGTCCGGTGCCTTAGGCGATGTTGTTTTCAAAATCTTCAGCGTTTTTCGTGTGAGAATCAATTTTCTTTTCTTTCGATAGCGTTTTATCCTGCGTGGGCCAACGGCAGAAAAAAAACAGTCAGGCCGAAAATGACCGTATTTGACACTCTCCGGGGAGTCAAAAGCGGCAGGACCAGAAGCACGAAGTACGCCTAAAGCGAGGCCTAAAGTGGCAGGCGACCATAACCGCGAAAGACCCAACCCTAACCCTAACCACTCGGGACCCCATACTGACACCAGTACCGCATGCCCCTCCATGCCCGTGTGGGCCCCCATACTAAAAACAGTACAATCCAGGCACTTGGGGGGGGGGGGCCCAAAAACAACAAAAAAAAAGCCTCAACCCTGCCCCTAACCTAAACCACACGGAACTCCCATATTGACACCAGTACGAAGTGCCCCCCATGCCCGTGCGCCCCCCCCCAAAACAAAAACAGTAAATTCTAGGCTCTTGGGGGGGGGGGGGGGGGGGGAGGGGGGCACAAAAAAGAAAACAAAAAAACAAACAATAAGCCAAAATGGGTATATTTTGACTTGATTTTAGTATTGAACGGGATGCTTTTCTTTTTTTTTCATCGTTTCCTTCTGCTCTTCGCCTTTCATAGACCCCAAGTTTATTATCGTCGTCAACACTGGTATACCCAAACGGTTTCACGCCCATAACGATACAGATATATGGGACAGGAAATATATATCTCTTTTAGGAAATATGAAAAGAAACGCAACAACACAAAAATATTACGGGTGTGGGAAAAAGGCAATATCAACAGAAAACAAGGAACTGCTGTGTGTGCCATCGCTCGCAATTATGATCCGCATCTTAACCTGCAAGTAGAACACCACGCGAGACTCTTCGACAAAAAAAGGGCGAACATTTCATGGTCGGCGTCCACCTCGCACGAGAGACTGCCTTACACCCCACGAAAGGAACGACGGTCAACATGCACTGACATACGCGCCCCACACATTTTGAGTACGCCTATTGCATACAGGAGCTGACCACAAATAAAATGTTTGATGCCCCCGTGACTTCCCACGAAGGCTACCCTGCCGACCCACGGTACAATTGTGTGAAGTATTTATGGGGAGAAAGTTAACCCAGGACCGCTGCAGATGACATGAACCTTGATTATCACACCCGTGCTCCTCTCCAGCACAACAGCAGTCTCAAACAGACAGTAAACACATGTGCGTGCTCTCTCTCGAGGGGCCCCGCACTTGTACCCCCAATAACATAACCCCCACGTAATATACTCTCCTGATTGGATCTTGTATCCAAGTACCCCAAACAACAAAAAAAATGCGTTCTCTTGCAATTATTGGTTTTCTCCTTCAGGTCGCCCTCCTTCGCACAACTCCTCTTTTACTGGACCTGGCACCGAGGGGACGTCGCCAGGATGGCGAGGTCGCTTAGCGACCCTCTGGCCGCTGTCGCCGTGAGAATTTCCAGCAAGAGCGTTGCGCCTCTTTATGCGTATGTTCACCATTCCGGGCTTAGCATGAATCGCACACACCTCTGGCCGTATTGCAAGCTCGCCGCCGTAGCTCGCAGTCGTCTTGCAGTCAGGGTGACGACAGACATTTCTGTAGACATCCACCATTCCCTTCTCTTTGTGCAGCGAGCAGTACGCTGCCTGCTTGGAGCCGTCGACGGCAAAGCCAGGTCTTTTCGTGCATTGCGGGTGGATGCAAATCTTGGTGTGCAAGTTCACCATCTCCTCTTTCGCGTGTACCGAACAGAACTCCGTTCGTCTGGTGGTGCTCATCCCGAACGCCGCCTTCTTCGTACAACCCGCGTGGCAACACCTCTTGCTGTGCACATCGATCATGTTTACCTTCGCGTGCTTGCTGCAAAACTTTGGGCGTCTTGTGCCCTGCTCGGCATAATGAGCACCGTTGGTACAACCTTTCTCGGCGCACTCTTTCTTCACCAAGTTTACCATTCCCTTCTTCGCGTGCGTGATACAGAACTCGGGTCGCGTCGAAGGGTTTGCACCGAAGCTCGGACTCACAACGCAGCCTGGGTGCTTGCACCTGTGCCTACTGACGTCGACTAAGCCCTCCGGTGCATGCTCCGCACAGAACTGCGCCCTTCTAGTCCCACTTTCTCCAAAGGACGGGTTTTTGTTGCAGGACGGGTGGCCGCACCTGGCGAACAAAAAAACAGGCGGGACAGAATCCACGAGGCATGCGCCAGTCAGACTCCTTTCTATCACACTTCCTTGTTTATCACCCCCCCCCTTAGTCCCCCCTCCCCGGTGTTTGCCATCGGGGTTGGGTTTTCGTCGCTTGGCAACGACGTTGTAAAACAAGCCGCCCCCCCCGGTGTTTGCCATCGGGGTTTGGGTTTTCGTCGCTTGGCAACGACGTTGTAAAACAAGCCCCCCACTCGGTGTTTGCCATCGGGATTGGGTTTTCGTCGCTTGGCAACGACGTTGTAAAACAAGCCAATTCACTTCGTGAACTCGGCAACCAGGTTACCGTTTTTTTTTTTTACCTCGTTTTTTTTTTGGCGGTAACCATAATGGTGGTCGAGTAGATCATGTTGTGCGGGGTCGAGAAACCTTCACTCCGCGCAACGGGGGATGATCGCACTACGTTGTGTTAAAATGGTAAAGCTTCCTCGAGGCAGTTACACAGTGCTTACAACTGTCTCTGGAAGTGAAAGCACCAGAAAATAAATTAAGTCATACGTAGCTGTCATCCGTACGCAACGAAGTAAGCACAAGATGCCGAACACCCTTAGCAGGATGCAGCTCACCCTTCATGCGACTCGCCAAATACCTCACGGCGCTTCGCGCTTGGTGATGTGAGAGCCTGGTCCGGTGAGAACCCGGCGTGCTCCGTCCCGGCTTTGTAGGGATGCGAGGTCAATGGTCAAACGACTACGGCATGCACGACTATGAGTACAC